GTACGGGTTAGCCTTGGGTTCAGCAAATCATCTTGGTTGATAAGAGTTAAGCAACAAGTACTGAACTGTCCAGAAAATTCTTTAATAGCCATGTAGCTTCCATGAAAATGATAACGATCTTACATGTCAGTGTTTTCCAGTATTACACACCGTTAAGTAAGAATGGAGTTGGCCAAGCCGGCAGTTGATCTTTTCAGTTGTCCGTACTGCTATTTTGAGCTGTTCAGTGGCCAATATTTTCTTAATCAGACGCTGCTGTTTTTTGTTTTTGTTAACTTTGCTTTGCACCATCCCCATTGTCTTATCTCCTGGCCAGGCTAGGTGACTCTTCACTGGACACACAGCTTTCGCTTCAATCAGAAAACCGCTGTCTGAATAAACGGCACATAAAGCTTAAGGATAATTGAGAGTCTTAGTTCTGAAACACGCTTCTTTAGCAGAAAAGAAACCAACTCTTCTATGGCAAGTAAAGGTTTGCAAATGTTCGCTTATTCACACACGCATAAAGTGATGAATTTTTGCGTCCCTATTCAAGACAAAAGTTTCTGGATTTACGACGTCTGTAAGTTTCTCAAAAGATTTACTCACTCTTGTCCCTAGAGGCCGAAGTCAGGCCGAGGGACTCTCAGTGATCGAGTACAAGAAACAAGACGGAATAAATTTCACTCAGTAATTGAGAGCCTAAACAAAGCCACACCACGAACACTAGACTATGATCTCAAAAGTGGCTGCTTTTTTGTTTGGCGCCTCAGGGCGTTGCCACTAAGCGTCTCGTGGATCATTCCGCAAAATAGCGATGGGCCCACATTGAGCCGCCATGTACATGTATATACAATGGAGTTGTTCATATTTCGCCATAAAAGTTGCTTATCGTTACAAATTATGCTTCAACAAGTATCTCTTGATACCGCCTTGGAATGCAGTTCAAAGTATCGATCTTCAACGACGAGGTCTCAAGAATTCCGAATTCCGGGAGGGGACAATTGTTTCTTGTGGTCCCTTCAGTTTCCTTTTGTCTGATAATGTTTTAGTTTTTTATTATATTAAATTGTGCTTAATTATAGAGAACGACAAGCAAAGATTAAAAAACGCCCATTTCCAAGTGGACTTTTTCCGTGAGTTACTGAGTAGTCAGGCACAAAAACTTTAATATGGAAAATGGAAAACTTTAAAATGGTGCTCGCTCCTTTTCTGCTGCTAAATCAATCAAGACCTTTCTTTTTAATGAATCACTTTAAATTTTATTTTTTACTTTTTCTCCATTCAATATTGTATCTAATTTTACATGAAAAAGCGTTGTAAAGCGGTTTTAATCACATCTGGAAAGCGCGCTAAAGAAATTTTTAATTTACTATTATTATTATTATTACAAAAGAAATAATTATCCCGTTTCCATTTGCTCATAGCTATTCAAATCCACAATATAAGAAACTGATTTTGTGCTGTGTTTATTTCATTTTATTTTACCATATAACTTTTTTTTACCGTCGTCTTCCCTATATTTCAACTCGAGAATAATCTTACCCGTCATGAAAGAATTTCTCACTGTCCCAAGTAAGTTTATCATGATTCAAACCTACAGTAGCTTTTGCCGCCTTTTTTTAGCTAAGCCGCTACAATGAAAAGGTTTGTGTTACTTAAGATGTAAAATACACAAAACAGCAACGGAGAAGCTCGAACTCATTTTGCGACCGCAATCCTTGTGAAAATTCAGCTGTTCCTATTTTCTTTCGGGTATCAGCTTTTTTTCACTGAAATCTGAAAGCCGTTCAAACGGTTTTGCAATTTTTCAATGGCGTAAGTTTTCCACCGTCCTGCAAAGACCTTTACACTGTTAAATGGTAAGAGGCTCACGATAGTTGGATTCCGGGTGAATATCTCCATTATAAGGTTCGTAATCCTCGCTTGTTAGGTACTGCTGTGGGTGGGAGTGGTGAAAATCACCGATCTTAATTTTAAGGAGTACCTTGTCATTTGTTAACCAGCCATAATTATAACGACTCCATTTACGTCAACGTGCTCCTAATTGCTTAATTTGTGAGAGCAGCTGTTCTAAAAATCTGATCGCATCTGGGGGTGCTCCCTTTAATGGCTTAATATGGCTAGGCTCGGCCCGAAAGGGTAGGGAATTGTGTCATTTCCGACGTAAAAGGCCCAATAGAAAGCTAACAGATGCATTTTATGACTGCCAAAAAGTCGAGGAAACGTGCACTAACAGCAGTTAAAAGGGATGCAAAGTTCTAAACTAAGAGAAATATGTGAAAGGGGCATGAATTATAGAGGATATACGAAAGAGCTACCTTTTCTGCCGAAAATCGTATATAAAAGGGAAAGGGTTTGGATCTCGGAGCGGAGCCTCCCTGTATAAAACTTTGTTGAGTAGCCCACGCCCAGGATTGAATCAGACAAGATAAGACAAGACAAGATCATGATATTTTTATTTGGAGTTCTATACCAGCTGGTACATCAGCGTTTTCCAAATACTTCACAATTATAATAAATACTAGTTATTAATAACACTATATATAACAAGAGATACAATTATACACATATTTTTATATATATTATTTACTCTATGTTTTCCTTCTCTTTCCTTATCTCTAAGCATTCAAACACACGCCTTGCTATATAGTATTTTCATTAGTGAACTTCAGGAAATGAATACGTTTTCTCACCTTGTACCTCTTTAACTGTCACTTTCTTTTGATTTACTTATTCATTTATTTTTTTGTTTGTTTGTTTTTACTCTCAGAACATTATTTTTGCAGAAACCAAAATATCGAGCAAATAAACCGTCTATCAGTTTTATTTATATTTTTCCCTCAGTATTCTCGCTTTAAGAATCTGAGAATGCTGGCTTGGAGGAGGGGTGGTGGATTAGTTTTCTAGAATCGTATACTGACCCCAGCCGTACCTCATAAGTTTACTGTTTGTCTGCTTAGTATCCTAAAATAATAATTCAGGTTTTGTTACTCTTCTTCTCTACCCAAACAAAGCCCATGATACTCTGTTCTCTACCTAAAATTGACTGCGGGTCTTCGGCTTTCGATGACCTGTACGAAAATGCGATAAAACAAGAATGTATATGTATAGGCCAAGACTCACCATGTCTTGTTTTCAACTTAGCGCAATGGCATATCTCTCTGTTAGAGTTTTGTATAAGAAAAGATGACAAGGATACTTAATTATTTCAGCCACGTTTTGACCCATAAGGTGGTACTGATGGAGTGCGAAACTGGATGAGTACGGCTGGTCATCGACGTGCATGAGTCAATCTGAAAAAATCCGTCAAGAGTCGACAATTTTCAAAGAAGTCGGTAATGAAGCCTGTGTAAATGGGCGATTTTGTTTGAGGAGATGGGGGAGGGAGCGGCCGCTACACACTATCAGTAATGCTGGTCTTGTTACTGGTAAGGCGTATTTTACAGTGCGAACGATGATACTATGTTCTCCCGCCATCTTGTACCCCTGAGCTGCTTTCGAATTCGTTATATAATAAAAATGATGATAATAATGATAACAATAATAATATAACGTACGCTCTACAAGTTACGCTTTCACATGCTGTGGTCTACTGATCTAAAAGGGACTTATTTAGAAATAATTTATTTTAACCCTTCTATTCTAAGAGTGAACGAAATCCTATGGTGTGACTATTTAAATCAAACCAGTAGTACTTGAGTAGTTCGTAAAATAAAACTAAGCTTTCAGGGCTTTGTAACAGGCCCCGATGCTGAGTATGCGAACCAAGTTATTCAAGGATTGGGTCAGGGGTGCCCATCTTGAGTTAATTTTAATTTTGCATGGAAGCGTAATTCCATTCCTACAGCTGTGTGATTGTTATATTTAATCTCGCATTAACGCGTTTTGGAATGCTTGGACGAAACTGGTGACACCCCTTAACAAAGGATAATCTTGATCGCCTTTTCTGCTACAAGCGCTGTTTTACAAACCTTAAAGAACAATTCCTTCAACCTTGGTCCATGCCCGTGAAAGGAACAATGCCCCCCTTCATGACCACTGCGGAAATTAAACAATTCCAGATTTATTCCATAAAAATCACGAAATAAAACTACCGAAGACAAGAGTTGTCAATTTCATTTGAATGGTTCAAAGACTTCATTATAACGACATATTGCATTTCTGGGGGAAAATTAATTTTAACAGTTTTGTAGACTTGGATATTCTGATGAATAAGTGACCAATATAACCCACGGGTGCTCGCGAGAAAAAAATAACAGAAGTTTTTTTCTTTGAAATATATTTCTTTTATTTACATCCTATGATGTGTGTTTTCTCTCACCAAATTAAACGGCACTAAGGTCGTGTACAAAATTGTAAAAAATATTATAAATTATCTATTTTTCTTTCACAATTTATAAAGATCTCCGCATAAGCAAATATACAATATTATTTATAGAATGTTTCTTGACATAAATATTTTATGCAGTTTGCATTTTTTTAAAAAAAATATACAGACGTAGCTGTTTGATGGGAACCTCAACAAAACTGTCGAAGACTAACTATAACATTAAGATATGACCGCTGAATTTTCAGTATTTACAATAACTGTACAAAGATATTGTGTAGTCAAGTCTATCAAAATGGTTTCGGAAAAGCAGTCTGAAAACAGAACGCTTTGCATTTGAAATAACTGGAAACAAGTAACAATAACCAAAATCTTATCATTTGTTGATCTACTTTGAAAAAAGGCCTCTACCTGACGTTTTTGCCGTCATGTACATTTCCTCACTCAGAAACGAATTCAGCGCTTCAGATTTTTTCTTTTTCTTATAAATAAATAGCTTTTATGGTTTAAAAAAATTCCTGTAAGGAACGCTTCGTTTCTGCAAAATTAGACAGCAGAAAAGACAATTTATTTATAAAGTCTTTGTTTTGGACAGAGTTTCTAAGCGTAGTAAGTCATCCCAGCGCCCAATGGCGGACCGTACATTGGTCTTGTTTGCGGATACGATGGTGGAGCCCGCGCCCAGTAGGACATTGGGTAACAGCTGTTGGCTGCTGGATGCGGGAACAGCGACGAGGCGGCGGGAAAACCAGCGTAGAAGTCTGATCCAGGAAACTTGTACGCGGCTTGCGCATGTGCTTGAGCGTCTGATGTGATTGGCTGGTTGAGTTGAGCCAATCCTTGGAAGTCAAATTTGTAGGCGTATCTCTTGCCGTGGATCTTGGTCATGATGTTTTTGTCGTAGTAATATCGCAGCGCTCGGCTAAGCTTGTCGTAGTTCATGTTTGGCTTATTCTTTCGCTCTCCCCACTTTCTGGCTACCTCGTCAGGATCTACCAGCTTGAATTCGCCGTTGGAACCTTCCCAGGCGATGCAAGTCGAGTTCTTTGGGTCTGACAAGAGCTCGAGAAGGAACTGCCACAACTGAATCTGTCCGCTGCCGGTGCTAGCGGGCTCGGCGCGGCTACCAACGTTGGCACTGGAGAACGAACTCGAGAGGGACTGAGGCTCTGGAACGGACATGGGTCTGGAGGGAACAACACTGTCCTTCATATGGGATAGTCTTGGAGTGGATGAAGGTGACGCCCAAGGAGAACTTCTGTCAATGGAATCTAAAAAATAACAGAAAAAAGAATATTAAGAAAACAAATGAATAGACTATAACATACAGAGAAAATAAATTACTTAAGAACACGCGAAATCAAGAAGTTTTTTTTTTAGAGTAAGAGAAACTTAGAAGAAAATTGAAGGCATAAGTTTTAAAGGGTAAGAGAGAATGAGAAAAAAAAAAGCATAATCTGCCTTGATAAGAGTGCCGATGAGAACGACAACTTGCAAGCTAAGGGAACAAAACCTTGAGGTGGAATAAAATGAGACTATGAACTCACCATTTCCACTGAATCGTGCTTGAAGACTTTCAGTGCTCCTGACAACTGATGGATTGCTAGTGATCACAGGGTGTTGTCTCGAGTCAAACACTGGTGGAGAAGGTGCGTGGTAAGACGCTGCAAAAAATAATAGCAAAAATCCTTGAATTAACAACCTGTTATACATCAACAACACAATGCTTTTCAGGGAAAATGTTTCACGAGAGAGGCGTTTTAAATTTGAAAGAAGGTAAAATCTAAAGCTTAGGAAAAATAATCTGATCTTCAGGTGAGAAATGAACTCACGACCCTCTTGAGTTCTAGTTCGGATGCTCTAACCACTGAGCTTCTGGAGGCGAACAGGGTCGAACGTTATTACTTTGAAGACGAAAAAATGGGATTCTTACCTTGTGTGGATGCAGGGGCCAAAGCGCTATCAATATCATCAGAGGTAAGGTTTGGTAGAGGAGCTGAAATGAACGAACAGAAATACAAGATAAGTATAAGACTCTGGGAGTAAAAAGGGTTGAAAACATGTAAATTAACTTAGATTTCTATCATGTCGCGTGTTGTTTTCTCAAGATTGCCTTGACCTAAAACTAACAACGGCACTAATCCTATTTCTTTCTTGCTTGTTTGGTTCATGAATTTTGGCTAAATTGTTAAAATCCATCTTACTTTCACCATAAAGATGACTATCAGATTGGATTAAGATTTCTTCATCACTAATTGGATGACTATTTTTGAGGGAAAAACAGTAGGTTTTCGTGTCAAGACAGTGTTTTTGACTTACTTTTACGAAGAACGCATAAATGTGCCATCAAAATGTCTCCATTATAGGCTGGGGCTAGTTTCATAAAGCCCTCCCTGGTCAGTTTGCAGAGTTCTCTGCCGTCCATATCGAATCGATCGGCATCGATGTCTTTGAGACTGAATTCTTTGATGGCCCACTGAATCCATTGACGAACATGTTCTTTGGTCCAGCACAGAGGATCTGAACCAAAAAAAAAAAGGAAAATTAAATCAACCAGATGTTAAAACTCATAGGAAGAGTCATTGCAATAAAACCATCAAAATCAAGAGCGCTTTATCGCAATTGACACTGTTTGTGAGCTTTCTAAAAATGTAGACTTTTTAAAGAAATGTTACAGTAAAAATTGAGTTGTTATGTTTTTGTCCAAGTCAGCTGGTAACGATTGACTCGTGAGGCATTTTATGAACGCTTGATGAACACCATGGAAGTTATTTGAACCCGTTATTTAAATCACTGTGATAATACCGAGATGAAGAGTATCGGCAGGTAATAGAAGAACAGTATCTGAAGTGTTTGTTCACTGGATATTAACAAACAAGAAAGGGCCACAGCTTCTTGAAGGACCGGCTTAACCCTTTACACTTCTTATTAAGGCCAAAGAAATATTCCTTTAAGACAATTTAATTTTCCTTTTTTGCCTACCTTAATAAGTAAAAAGAACTGTGAAAAAGTTATGCCACAGAGGTTTCATTTGAATGGTAACAAGATATAATTTCGTCCTCATATTTTTAAAACAAGTTTTAGTGACAAATAATTTTCGTCAAAGTGAGCAACAGTTTAATAACAAGATGGATGGTCGAATCCCTTCAGCAAACTATGAAGACAAAAGTAGTAGACTAAGACGCAGCGGGTTGTTCCGCCTTTTTTACGAAATTAGGCAATCTATATTCACGCTTTCCGGTCTCCTCAGCACTTGAACATTATATTCAAATATTTCAAATTCAACTTCCAATCGGCAAGTCAAAAATGTTCGTGTCGCAGCCCTCATCAAAATTTAATGCCTTGCGGTTTAAAGGTAATCGCTCTCATTTTCACGGTCCGAGGTCAAACCGAAAAAGCCGGGGTGGGGTTTACTAAGACCGCCCAAATCTTCTTGTCACAATCCAGAATGATTACTAGAGAGAAATTCAATCGGCAGTGCGAGAAAACATGACACAGGGCGCGTTTCAACTGGATTGACACATAACTCATTGGGTGTGACTAATGTTGATAGACATCAAACTACGATTTGACAATCTTAATATGAATTCTTACCGGCTGGAACTATGACTCGTTTTTCATGCGAAAGGTTTTGTGGGACAGGCGATGGTGTGTTTCTTTCCACAAAATCATTGCTGGGAACGTAAGCTCTTTTGGCTAGTGGCTCTTCAAGTTCAGACTCCAATGGCCTCTTTTTACTATAGAAATGATTGTCGCTCTTGTTGGATGGTTTCAGTGGCTTGTAAGGATCATTGAAGGCAGGGTCGAAAAGTGACTGATCATCGGGGATCAAATCCTAAAAGTACAAAATGAATTAAGCGATTAGAGTGTTCATCACAACGGTGTGTAAAAACTCAACATTTAACGCAGTGAAAAAAGATACTGGCAAGAGACGAGACAGACCAAGCCACAAATGAGCAAATGTTTTTGCTTAGAAAATAAGTTACTCAATCACATGGTTTGAATTTCTGTCTCCTCTCTTTGCCCATGTTTAGTCACTAATGTCTTGTAATCGGCCCATAATGTTGGTGCTGCTACACGAGCTTCATCACAATGCTAAAGGAACAATGAGTCTTTTCAAGCGCAACATTATAAAATTCTTCGTCACCAGTCGTTTACATGCCGCACGTAATTACTTCTACCCCGACACGACAACTAGGATAAATTATACCGCCTTGAGTTGTAAAAAAACAAAGATTCAGTACTCAGTTAATAAAGTTCAACAGGCGTCCTTAAACCTTTTTGACGTTTCGCGAAAGAGCGTTGTCTTCAGCGCGCCATTATGGCAAGAAATTATCACATTTAGAACAATCATAAGTGCCATTCCTTTACATGTAGCGAGCGCTAGAGTGGACTGTTCAGATCCTTTAAGCAATATTGGCAAACGAAAATCTTTTTTAATATCACACCAAATAAATATACGTTAAGTTAGAAAATCACAAACTACCAGAACAGCAGAAAAATCGCGAGCAACGAATGTTAAGTAATCGACCATCTTTGTGATTTAAATCAATGTTACATTAAAATGAATAATGAATATATCCCTCAGTGACTTAAGTTAAGTAAGGTAAAGTTTATGATAGAGTACTTACTTGAGCGTAGACCGAAGGGTCAGGGACAACGTTTTGTTCTGCGCTAAGTCCGTACATGGTTTTAAATTGAAGGTTATAAATCTAAAACAAAATCGACAAATAAAGATTGTTATGAGAGAAGAACCTTTAAAACTATTGCGTAAGGACATCAAACTAACTTTGAAACTTTCACACTGGTTTTAAAGGTATAACTTGTACTCACCTCAATTGAATGAATTGTAGAACGGTCAAAAGGTCTTGAGGTTTTACTATAAATTTGTCGATCGATGAAATCGCGAGTATCGGAATGTATCAGATAAATCCTCGAAGCAAACCGAAGAAATGATGAACCCGAATAAACTGTTATCCTGTTTCAAATAATTTAGACTTGTCTTGGTGTTCCGGTTGGAAAACACTTGATATCCGTCGCAGACTAACAAGATGATTTTTCAGAGCTCCTTGCTCTACTCAGGATTTTAATTCAACTGCCTTCCTATGGAGGCGACTTTGCTTTATAGATCAAGAACTCGATTTCGCGGTACGTGGAGGTGGGACCGCTCTATGACAGCTCTCCGATAGGTGGTAAATGTTTGTGACAGGATTGTCCAATCAGCGTTCATCCACTTCAAAACAATTAGTCCCTGGAGTGTTCCTTTGACGCCCACGCAGACACGCCTTAATGACGTCAGGAAGAGGTCGCAACCCCTTGACTACTTGAGCCTGACGAGTTTCAAGTGAACAATATCAAATTGACAGTGGATATCATCTATCACGTCCACAAAGCGCGATAAAGCTCACTGTGTGCGCGGGATAAGATAAACACCGCTATCAGCTGATTGATGAAGGGGACTGGTTTGTATCCCATAACTTTGAGGTTATACGGAGTTTTATGAAACGAACGTGGAGAATAACTCTTCGAGAAAAGTTAGACTTTTACTCCAGAAATAGAGTGAAAGGTTACCTCTGAGCAAATTAAAAGTGCTATTCGATCTCTCTCTCTTGGTGATCAAGAAACTTCGTAACACAAAACGCTATAAAAATAATTAATCCTTGCAAAGGTCGAGAGTGTAATCTGACAATGGCGTTATTCAAGCGTGAGTTAGCAAAAAATACTCTGATTGTTTACGTGGTCTTCCGAGCCAAACAAGTTACGGAAATTCAATTTTTTGCCACTAATTTGTTCGACACTTGATGTCCAGACGGCGATAAAGACCTGGGTTAGGCAAACGCCAGTACGTGGTAGAATGCGCTTTCGCCGTATTTTTCAATGTGACACGTCACGAATGATTGTTTTTTGTTATTTGCAAATGCCATTCATTTGCTAATCATACCATTGTGTTTGTACTCCCAAGGGATAGGGTGTGTCGCTTAAACAATTTACCGCCAAATTACTCTAAGTGAACGAAATGAGCGCGCTTCAATGATCTCGTGATTAATGCCACCGCCAAGCTCTGTTTGGATTTTGGCGCGTAACCTACCTAACAACAAGAACAGTTATTTAAAAAGTGCGAATGACAAGCAATGAACTAAGCACACTTTAAAAAATCAAGGGGTTAAAATTAGCCCGTTTTATTTTTCCCGGTTTTATTTTTTTTTCTTTCGAGGAAATTTAGACATACAAAAGCCACCAGAGGTATTGGTCCAACGATTTTCTTTGAAAACACTACTACCACTAATGCTCTAAGATTTCACTGGAAGTAAAAGTTCACTCTGAGGGTATTAAACCGGTTTAAACAAAAATCAAAATTTCATGTTGTAAAATACTGAAAAATAAATAATACAAATGTAAAAATTAGCTGAATTTGAATGGTTACACCAAAAAAATTAGAAGTTTTAGAACGTGTCAGTTCAAAATTGACTCGAAATTAGCGGTTCATGTGTACTACGAAGATGAGTTGGACCTTCAAGTCCTTCAAAGGAAAAGAAAGATAATCTACTTGGGAGCCTATCGAATTCAAGCCCCGCGGTTATGGCATTAAAAAGATAAAGAACTCGTGTTGTTGTGAAAGAAACCAGGGAAATTAAATCTTACTCCTCATAGGAGTTGTTATTCTTTTTATTCAAATCAAGGTTAAGACTGTTTATTCTTCTGTGACGGAATCACGGACCGTGTTTCCGGCACTCTCTTTACTCAACAATTGTCAGTGATAAAGGCCTTCAAGGAAACCGCGTCAACTCTAGCACTTTTACAAATCTCTTCCCGTTCATCTACTGATCTTCAGGTTCTTTTCTAAACCACTGACATTCGTTACATCAAACTGAGTTGCCGTTGCGGACGAAAAAATGAGCGAAACGCGTAGAATTTGACATGACGCGGATTGCGACATGTGGATTTTTCGAGAAGGGTCCAGAGGGGTCGCATGGAAATGCACGCCTCACCAAACTGCGCTCAAAGCGTGGAATAGAAAACGCACGTATCAAGTTTTTTCCTAGTGCAGTCTCACGTACTTGTTTCATCATTCGCTATGACGCATTAAAAAAAACTCTTCTGCAAATCGGGATCTTTCCACGAACTTGGATAACTGAATTTTGTTATTTTCGTCGTTTAGCTTGACAATAGCGGAATTCAATGAAAATAGAGGTTGTTTTTTTATGTGTTTGTTTCTGAGATTATTACAGCGTTACGAAGAAAAACCGCCTCCCGACCAATTTTTTCAATCTACGGTTTTAATTTTGGGCCATTTGCTCTTCTTTCCGGTAAATAGTCTTATAAATAGCTTATTTTCACGAGAAAACAAAATTGCCTTGCTTTATCCAGCAGCAACAACCCAAAGAGTTTCGTGGGCGTGCGTGCCGATACATTTCAGTCACATTTCCGCCCACGTGAAATTACACTTTGTGGTGTAAACGGCATCATTAATGACAACGCTTGCGTATAACTCGTGTATAACCATTTTGTAAGGAAAAAAGAAAGACCGAAGATGAATGCAAAATTGTCAAAAATGGATGGACATTTAGTTCTTTCACAATGCATCACATTGCACTCGAAACAAGATACCACCAGGTTTCATCGGGTTTCATCAGTTCCTCACCCATTCCTCATTAGTAACGTTCATTCCCGCCGCGTCTCGCGTTACGTTTAAAATCAAAAACGCTAAAACCATCCCCAAAATCCTTTGCTTGGAGCAGGGGAGCCGAACGCGCGAAGCACCGAGACATGACGAGGAAGGAAATACAAATTACACTTGGGTGTCGAAGGAGCTGAGGTCCGGATCAGTTCTTTTTATAAGTAACTTAGTTATGCGTCTCTTCCTAAGGGTAGGGCTGTTGTCTAAGAAAAACGGTAGTTCTGTCTGATCTGCAATGTGTGGTACATGGTTCAGTTTACCATGTCCCCTGTAAAAGGCAATCTATAAAGTGCACTGAGTATTCGATAGGGTCTCTATTTCTAATCAGTTAGGTATGACATGGGTCAAAGACTCAGTACAAATATTGTCCAATCGTGGCTTTCTTCTAGCATGCACTCCCACAGTCCATGGACTGTTGACAGTCCAGCACAAGTATTGTTACACTCTTTCCAGTCTAAGTATAAATTGATATGTTTCAGTAACTTGAAAACTAACAAAGGAAAACAAAACAAAAAAGGGAGGACACTGATCCCCTAAGAATCCTCTCTTGCCAGTGCTACCTGTTTCACTGACCAGGCTATTATGACTGAAAGGCCGTTTCACTCAGTAAAACCCTTGCTTTTTTGCGCCGTAGTTTTGTTGGCCACTCAAGCTATTGCTCTCTAACCTTTAAACCTGCGGAAATATCCACGCACAAATTCTCCTGACCTAACAAACGAATTTGATAAAAGATCAAAGCAGTTTTCTTTCTGATGATCATTTTAAAAATTCTCATCAACTCATTTCCTTGGTCGATAAATGGATATTGTTAGAAGAAAATTGATGCTGATCAATCTTCTCTATGAAAAAAAGTTTGCCTCTTTCTAACCCTCAGTCACTGTCACAAGTTGCGGAGACAAACTATCCAAATTTCTTTTGTAGGATATTGAAAGACAAATTCAGCCATATAAAAGTATTGAGAAGGATATATCTTTGAATTGTCACACCATAGCTACAGCGCAAAAACTGACCGCATCGCATGAATCTGTAATTGACTCCGGCAGTGATATCATGATTAATCTTTCCGGCAAACTGGCTGCAAAGGATGCCGCATACAATTCTTTCGGTGGGCTAACCTTTGGTCAAAGACTGAACAGTCACCATGGGAAAGCTGAGGGAAACGAGAAAAAATTCCGCAACTCGAGCGGAGTGGAGTGGCTTGAAAATGTATAAACGGGTGGGAGCTGAAATGCTAATTTTAACTGCTAGACTTTTTAATTTGTTTCAACCCTTTTCAACCCAACAGTGTCGAAAAAGGAAAAAATAAAACAACACCATGTGAAAGTGCTGCCGAAAAGCTTTCACTCTGACGACCCGTCAAGCCTAGGATTTCGTTGTAGATTTACTGAGTTAGAATATCTTGTTGCCTTCCAGTACTATACTGAGGAGTAAGGAATCTTAAAGATTTAGAAGTCTGATATGTTGCCGTGTTTCAGGTTACACTAAATATCAACGGTCATGATATGGCACGTGCGGCAGTGCCCTCTTTAAATATTTCAGCAGGTTATAAAATATCAAGAGCTATAAAAAAATTCCAATCGCAAGAGTCTCTAAGTTTAAACTGCGGAAAATATATAAAATCAACATCCTTTGCCGGCAAAGCAATTTAAAATATCTTTCACATCAAGGCAGATAATTTGTTTTTCATGAACGGCATGTCAGTTATGTGTTAGCTAACACACTGCGATTTTTGAAAAAAAAAAATCTTCAACAGAAATCATTTGGACGAAATTCGCCCAAAATTTTTGGCCGTCACACGAAGAAAAAAAAATCCGGGTTATATTATTAAATAGCAAGTTAAATGGAAAAAGAAAAGAAACTTCAACACTTGGCGAAAATTCACTGTGCATCAATAAAGAAACGTGGCGCAGACTCTAAAGAAAACCTTTAAAAAAAACTTCAACATTCTTGCAATACTGAAAGGTACATGAGAGAAAAAAGGTTACAAAAAAAGGAAGAAACGTAAAACAAGGCCGCACATACGGCATCCTGGCACGTTAAGCAGCAGTTGGCAGTTCAGGACTATAACTGAGATCCGAATAAGAGTCGAGTACAAGCAACAGAACACCGAAAACAACAACATATTTCTTCCACCCACGTTCTAAATCTTCTGATGATGACCTTTTTGTGTTCCAATCAGTTTGGCACGAAAACAAAATTGTGCGTGGGTTAAAAAAAATCCCCACATACCCTTTACGTTACAGCACTATTTACTAACCATATTTTTTCGACCCCGGTTTATTTCTTTAGTACACACGTACGTGTATAAAAACGATTGAGAGGCTACTGTTTTCTAATTACTTGACGTCAGTCAAGAAAAGATTTTTCAGAACGTCTCCGCTTTGAACGAAATCCGGAAAATAATCTTTAACTTGTCAGGACTACTGAGTGCAGTTTTAAAACCTCCACAGTCAGTTGGTGCTGACATTAAAACGAAAGATTAAGAAAAGAAACGGAAAAACGCCCTCAGCAGACTTCCGCTAGCTGAAATGATGCTCTTGGCAGATCAAAAGAAAGAATGATTATTCTCCCCACAGCTGACAGATCAGTAATAGTTTTTAACCTTGAAGCTACCAACTCAGTTAACCAAGGTGACACTTGGTTTAGTGTTGATTATAAAGGCTACGTATTATCTAGCAGTGAAATCTATTCAATAAACGATAAATAGAAGCGCCAATTTTTTCCTTTGCTAATAGAATCATAATTCGAGCCAGATTAAGAAAACAGCTCAATCAACCGACCCCTTTTATTTTGTCATTGACCTTCGAAACAAGAAAACAAAGTAAAATATAAGAACGCCTCCAATAAAAATAAAACTAAGACCAAAAAAGGACCTGTACTTTCCAGCTGTTAAGTGGCAAAAGGTGCTGAGCAAAACAAATTCCTAACTGAAAAAGTATAAAATAAAACTATAAACTTGCAGAGTCAAAACAAAGTTGTAATGAGGGTCACCGACGATGGTGTTTTTGTTTCTTAATAACGTAACTTATCACACAGGGGGAGATTTCTTTTTAAGTCGCGATTCCTTCTTAAAACTGAGGAGATAGACATTGCATAATACATAAACTTTCACGAAACTTTTAACGACTTTAAAGAACCTGAAATGAGACCAATTATATAACTTATTTCTAATAAATGCCCATTTTATTCAGCGTTTTTTTGGTAAATGCTACTGACGACAACTGTCTTACAGTTCAGATGGAAGATTTTGAAATGCGCTTTTTTTTCTGTGGCGCTGTCCAAAAAGGTGATGCTAATTTTAACGGCTTGAAGTCAAAAGCATGACCATTCGAATACAAACGAGAGTACATACTGTTTTCCGGTACTATACTGTTTGTTATGTAAGAGAACGCCCTTATTTCTCTCCTACAGTGAGCTGAGTTGTACTAATATTTCCTGTGGTTATGTTTGTTATGTTAAAGTATAGTACGACGATTCATAATAAAGGCAGTCTGACTGAGTGCTAACACACTTTAGTGATGCTTCACGTGGTCGATATGGTCGGCTAAGGTTTGTGTTTTTTTCTGTCTCTTCGAAATCTTGAAGGCAGCCTTTCGAATGAAAGCTATTGAGCACTACTGACTTTCCCGTGGCATTGTATATAACCGATCGACTGTTGAATACAAAGTGACTGTAACTAACTAGGGAGTTTTTACACCGTCTTCGGATGATTCATCAAAAAGAGCTACTGACTAGTACCCTCAGAGATGCTGTTAGTCGTAAATTTGTCTCAACTGACTGGCCAATCGAATAACAGCTGTCTATAAGCGGAGTCTCAGCTCCAGGTGGTTTGTAAGAGGACAATCTTTAGTCGTGCTATCTTAAAATTACACCCGGCGTCACCAAGGAATACGATCAGACTACGATAATGCCTAAGGGTGTCTCCCAAGGAAGGAAATAAAAATCGACAAAACATTTCAAGTAGACACTGATGACTGAATATCCTCGATACACCGTCACGTAACGGCATGAAATTATCCCATGCAAAGTGCAACTTCTAACCTACTTAGCTTAAAAATGTATCTGGCGGCATTTATGTATTACTTTTCTTTTCATGTATTCTTTTCTGCATCGATATTGAGCCGAGACAAAAATAACGTAAATTTGAAAAACAACTGTAACATCACATTTGAAATCTAACACTGTTCCGATAATATTGTGGACAAACAGCAAATATTAGAGAGTGCTCTAAAGTGCAGTGGAAACTCTTGCCATTCTACCGATTGTAACAATCGAATCAACGATTTGCGGTTTTTGCGCACACGGCACACGCGAATGTAAGACGTCTGGAAAAGGGCTACTTGTCGAGTGTTTCACTTGATCAGTCTTCCAACGATTATATAACATCTTGGTTCTTTTTCAATAAACACTATTGTAAATTGTGTTAGATGTGGGGAATATGTTTTCAGCCTGTTATCAACGCGTAATCTAAACCTCGACCGATAGCGCTTATTATGCATGAATTTTTTTTATTTGACAAATTTCAAACTCCGACTTAATTGAACTGTATTGAAAGTCGTATGCGAGACTGACTGGAGCCACGACCGGAAGTGGTTGTAATTCCATCGATGCATAAATCGTAAACAAAATTCCACGACGGCGGACAGTACGGTGGAGAAGGAGAGTTAAACATTTACGTCCCATTGCAAGAAACAAGCACATGCGGGGTAAAATTTTTTGTCTAAAAAAGGCGGAAATGACAAATTATTTTCATCTGTGCGTGGGCTCTCCTAAAAAGAAACCAGGTGAAAAACCACTGAAACCTGGTCTTTTAGCAACCAAACATGAGCTAAGGACCGGTAAGGCCCGGCAGTGCAAGAGCAAAATCCCAAGGAACAGGCTACAACAGTGCGTACCCCACATATTAGGTACTAAAACATTCACCTTGCCAAATGTAGCAGTTACGAGCGAACGATTTACAACTTTAAAACAAAATTAGGTGGGAAATGCATCGAAAATAGAAGAGCGCTTTTGGTATAACTTTATGAACAGGTCCTGACAGATTAGATCAGTGAAGCGCGTCCTAGTACTCCCGTTTTCCAATTCCAGTCGAAATCATCTTCACCAGCTGGGCATGCGAAATATGGGTTATACGAGGGATGTTTTAGTACTTCGTGCCGCTAATTCAAAAACTAAAACATGGCATGCACAGATTGAACCAGGCTAAATAAAAAACAGCTTCTTGAATACATTTTGGCTGTCGATCAAACAGACGAAGCGTATTATTGTCAGGTTAACAAATGACCCCTGCCCTAAATCTATTCTTTACCGCGTTCCAATGTGGCCGCACCCAAAACAAACCGCAAATGCAAGGAATACTATTGGATGATGTAGCTGTCTTTGGATAAAGGTTTACTAAAAATACCTTTGAGTGTTTTCAATGTCATCGCCCTCAATCAACATCTATCATATCGCCATGATCTGAGATAAACTTGATGAGTGCAAGTTCACAACATTTTATCTTCCGAAACGAAAGAAATTAGAAATTGTAACGTTGTTTCTATATTCGACATGGGAACGGGTTTTAGGATTCCAAGCATAAAATAACATGTATTAATGAGTTGTTTTTTTGGGGGGGGGGTTCGTTTGAAACACAAACTTGTGCCACATAAAATTTTTGTTCAGATCGATTTATCAGGCGTTGCATTTAAAGCTTTGTAGTTTGTTAACTTTCGTGTTTAAGATGATAATCCCAAAGCGTGTTTAAGGAACCGCTGTCATTTATTTCCAGATGCATGAAAAATACGTTTTTGTACGCGAAAAATAAAAAAAGGAAGGAAAGGACGATCAGAAAAAAATACACTGTTCACGGAATGTTTACATCTTTGTATTTGCAAGACTTTCCTGAGCAAATGTTGTTGTTTATAGATTTTTTGTTAAGTGGTCATCTAAACCAGTATTTTTAGATAGTTTTGTTTTTAAGTCAGGAGGCAATCAGTAATGAACTGTGCAGAGGGTTTCGAAACCTTTTCTGGATCCCACTTGAAGGAAGTCAAATAACATTCACAAAACAGAAAGCTTTTTTTTAGAATAAGATTTATTATTTCTAGATGAAGGGAGGACTTGATTCACGATACGGTTCGGCGATAAAGCTAAGTGTGTAGTCACAATACTAACCATCGTTTTTCAGCCAATAAGACGCGAGTTAAGCTCTCTGGCTGATAACATCTCACAATATATTTGAGGGTTTGGTTTCTAAAATTCTGCTCGATTTCAGATCATATTGTGATTTTCGAGGCATGCGCTCTTGGTTCTAATCAACTGCAACGTCTACCTACCATAACCCACCCACAGTCGAACATTTTTTCCCTGGCTACAGGTATTTTCCCAGCGGTGGTTTTTTTGTGTGTGCTAAGAGGTCGAGGGCATCAAATTTCCAACTCCAGTTATCACTTTTACATTGGAACTAAGGAAAAGCTCCCAATTTATATAGATCACAAAGACTGAGAGTTTCAAATTTTTTTGAAAAAAAAAGGGTTCCCTTCTGAGGCAGACTTTTTAAATAGCTTGAAAACAATGAGGAATCAACTACTCGGATAAGATATCAGAAAAAAGCGATATATCATAGAACGAGAGTCCTACGTTTTAAAAACCTTCCGCTATGAGTACAATAAACTGCACCATACAAAGCATCGCCCTTCAATTTTAATTCAAATGGTTAACAAAACGAGGGCCTTTCACATAGGGGGTAATAAAACAAGTCAAAAGAAAGGAAAGGGACACGCACCCAAAGATTTGAGTTAAACCTTCTTAAAAAGAAAGTGCGGCTCTGCGATTTCTGCATTTGAAGCTTAAAACATTGATAGGCATGTCCTTAACCCTAGTTGGCTGAATACTTTGTTCATCGTTCAAGTAACACGATTTGCTGCATTTAATTTTAGAGAAATTGCTGTTTAGTTACTAACTTTCATTTGAATCTCAAATCATTGGTTTGCGCGCCTATACGCTAGTTGGAAGATTTTTGCCTCGCTCGAGAGCAAGTGTTGCTGTATTTGAGAAAGTGCTGCCCAGAAGCTTATTAATAACACCACTGCTAGCAGGAATTTCATCATTCAAGTGCAAGCGTTAAAGGATTTAGAACATATGGTCATTTATCAAGGAATTAAAACAATCAAAATCGTCACAAAACATAAAAATACAGAAACTACAAAAGATATTGTTGCTCAGTTAATTTCGACAAAAATACCCACGGATGAATTTTACTCTCTGTTTTCTTAACTTAATTTTATAAACATTTCGAAACCTAGGAATAAAAGCTAGTACGTCAAAAAATAAACATATGTAAGGTTAAGTCTTTCAACCTTTTCAGTAAACCAGCAATTCGTATTTCACCAAGATTAAAACACCAGCCGGAATGAACCCCGTCACTAAACTCAAATATTCCAGTCAAAAATAGCCGCTGGCGACGCCCTTATTATCCGAATTTACACCGCTAAAAAACGTAGACTAACAAGTACCTATAAAGAACACAACATAATCATTAAAACCACGGCATTCACTTTACATATAAAACTTGCTTTCTTGAAACTGTGGCGGAAATTTTTGAGGGACGTGATTGGCGCTCACGGATCAATTTCCCGCCATTTTCATATTGACGGTTTACAGAAATAAAAATTGGTTTTGCTTAGTGAAAGAATCACTAGTTTTTCTTCATTACCAGTTGACAAGGGACAACATTTTTTTCGTCAGTGAGCATTTTTAATTCTGATTCGTTCCTTGTCCGCTCTCCAACAATTAAGTGCATCCTTTTTCCCTACTCTTACATGACTTACATAAGTCACTCATTGAAAAATGCGCTCGGGTATATTTCTTTGACCGCCTGAATCTTTCAAGTGGCAAAAGAAAAATTCTACAGATTAGAAAAGCAATATATAATCCCTCAATTTAGATCTAAATTGGGAGGTTACTAATGAAGAAAGAACGAAAATTTCTATAATGCATCTTGTGCTTTGTTCACGTTTTTGGTTTAACGATTTCGCAACAATGAACAAAAGAAACGTAACAGGAACAGCAGAAAACCACAAGATTGACCCAAACGTAGTATTAACAAAGCCGTAACATTACAAACAAAACAACCAGCGAACCAGCAATACTCGGCTAAAACCGGCTCTCACGACCGCCTACTAAAAGGCAAAGACGCCCACCGCCTCTCGAAAACAAACAAAAAAGGACAGTGAATAAGTCATCATGCATGATCAATTTAAAGATGTGAGCACGCGCTGGCAGAAAACATAAACAATAAAAGCTGAAAAAAAAAGCATCGACGTGGTCTTCGGCATACGGGATTACTGATATGAAGCAACTGACTTATATAGCAACGAGGGCATTCATTGGATATTGCGGTGAAAAATCACAAACTTGCAGCCTAATATACAACGCACTATTTTGTCAACAGCGCGCTATGTACTGGGCGCTGCCCCGAAAATTCTTTGCTTGAGATGTGAACGTGACCTGTTCCTCATGAATTTTCGTGAGCAATAGTGCGTTCTGTGTTGTTGATTTTACTAGGCACGGCGGCCTACAAACAATTAATTGGGCCACAAATTCCTAAGCCACAAGCCAATAATTCAGTTCCATTTCCTTTCTCAACAACGGGGTGTTCAGAAATTGAAATAGCTTCTCCAGCCTGTCTGATAAACCTAAGAACAGCTAATTTAAGCCACTGCAAATCTTGAGTGCTCAATTTCCTTTGGCATTTCGTAGTATCGTTCCCCCAGCTTTACTACCGGCGTCTCTGTTTCGTGAAATATGAATCTTCTGTTTTATTTAAGCAAAAAATGTATTTGCTTTGCCTAGAAGAGGGTGGAGGTGAAATAATACTCCGATACCGCAAACAGGAAACTCAATTGATTTATTGGGCACGATTTTTTATAGCACACACACGCAACTAGTTATGCGTAAAACAACGATAAAATCCTTACCACGTTGTCCTACCTAGAAATTCCTGAACATTATTTAACTCTTTAATTTTAATTGCCCCGTTTTAAAAAGGAAACATGGACTAGGTGAACAGCGCAACTGAAATTAATTTTCAGTAACAACTTCGATTTAAGTTTTTGCACTCGCAAAACGTTTTCCAGTTTCAGAATTAAGAATTACACACACATTCAAAGGGCATGAGTTCAGCTCTTTACTTGATACGGAAACACAGAATTCTCTGTGTTCGAAAATATTCTGAATGTCATTTTATTGGGTCAGAGTTAAAATGCTTGGTGCTTTTTTGGAATTAGGTATGAACGTGAGGATTAGAGTGTTCACTGACTTTATAAAGTTACGTAATCCTTTTTAATGAGCCCCAATGCACTTGAAAACTATTAGTTTTCACACTGTGGTATTTAGTGATATTAATCAACTACCTTTTCATGGCTTAGTTCCTACATCGCAATGTGTCTACACAAGATTTCGGAATTAAGGGCACGTTCGCCTCGCGTCAATCAATCAAATTGTGACTCGCAACTTCTGTGAAACAATTGCAAAAGCTGGAACAAAGAAGCCATAAAAAACGTCCACCCACATGAGTTCGGTCATCCGAGGTCCACTTTGCAGTCATAATAAGCTAGAGCAAAACTTGTCACCAAAAGGAATAAAAAGGGGTTTTACATGTATCGTTCTCTAAAGAACGTGAATTAACGGCTGAACTGAAACAAAGTCAAACACATTCTAAGCCCTTAGGATCCTCGCGTGATATTTTTAACATACTTTACCCTTAAACGGAACTTGAGAAATTACTAGTAAATTTCAAAATCAGGGCTTCGTGTCAAAGACATGTCTCCCTAGCAGTATATCAAACATTACAAACCAAAAAAAAATGCTAGGTTAGCACTAGTTTTCAAAACGCACAATTGCCATCCGTTTCAATCTTCTTCAGGTTTTGTCCATCCCTTCTTCCTTTTTTATTTGCTGTGTTATAATAGACTTTCTTTTAATGTTCTGAGCAGTTATTTTTATTTTTGTTTCGCACAGATTGGTGGCAGTTCCCTTGGCATTTGCACTCTTGTGCAGGTATTCCCTTTGGAAATATGTTTATAAACAACTTTGCATTACAATTTCAAAACGAGCGCGCACTTGAAGTACACCGAAAAGTTTCGGCTTCTTCTTACAAACTTTTCCAGCGTCTCTAAAAATCTGTTTCAACGGTAAATTACGTCACCATCCAAAAAATCTGTGTTAGGACCCCAAAACTAAGGATGTCCTTTATCTTGTTGTTACTTGCCATGAGCCTAAGGAAGTTGTAACAATTTCTCCAAATTATCTTGTTTGGTAGGTCAAATAGGACCTGGTACAAGACCGCAAGACCGCCTTGTAAGAGGGCAGGAGCTGGAGGAAGACGCAGATGATCTGGAAACAAACAAAAGGCTTAATATATCATTTTAAATGGTAATTTTGTTTCTTTCCCTGTGCGTCTCTTGCCCTCTAGCAAGGTGGTTTTGTACCACGTGAATGACCAGCTGCAAAGGGACTATCGTAGAAAGGAAATTTTAGCAAGAAAAAGAAAGTACTTGTTTGGACTCTTAGTCTAAACAAAAGGTTTATTTAGCTTAACTGGATGACTATAAAAATTTCATCAGTAAATGACAAACCCTTAAAACAACCTGTGTAGACTACAAAGACAACCAAGATAATATCACCATTAGCACTTGAAACTTAATTTTACGTAACGTACAATTAAACTCAATAGATTGAAGGTGGCAATATTTTTTACTTGTTCGCCTGCTACTCCTTCAAAGGGTAAAGAAATAACGACCATGGCGCAATGGTGGACTAAGACAGAGATAACTCGTTTAAGTTTTGCTTTAAACATGAATGGGTATTAAGAAAAACCCAAGAACATTTATAGTGGTTAAGACTGTTAGGGAACCCCAATCATTTGTCTCTACCACGCCAGAGTGACCGCCTATAAATCTAAACTAGCACTGCAACAAGGCCTCAGTACTATTCACCAACACGGAAAGTCAGCCAGTCAGCTTCTGTATTGTTAGGTTCTTTCACTTTTATTACTTGCAAAACCGTTACTTTTTCCCTACCTCGAATAGCGTTTTTTCTCTTATTTACAGGGTAATTGTATTGTATTGTTGTGGATAAAGCCGGTTTGTTTGTTTGTTGTTTGCTTGTATGTTGGCTGTTTTATTAAGAAGCTATCACTATTGACGGATCACACATGCGTTGCTAAGATTTCATTCACAGACTTAAGTTAGAGCCGATGCCGATGGACTAACGCTGTCACGCGAGGTACTCCGCCCGAAGGGGAGCCGCGTGCATAGAAAATAGGCACAGACGCGCTAAAAGTGGGTTACTTGAGAGAGAAGTTATTTAAGAAAATCCTTCTATTATTAATTATCTTAAGTGGTAGAAATAAATGCGATTTTCTCTGCAAGGTACAACGAAGGGCTCCCTCTAGTATAAAGTATACAGTGTACAAGAGAGAGAGTATAAACGCGAATACAAGAGGCCAGAAATCATAAAAGCTGTAAAAGAGTAATGTTAGTCATATGCGAAGAATAGGAAATGGCCAGTCCCCTATTTGTTTTCTTTGCTAAAAATGAATCAAAAATCCCAAAAGGGATCAACATGGTTATTTGAGAGATTCAATCAGCTTTATTCTAAAAGGAATGTTTTCTTTTTTGCTTAAAAAACCTTTTCATAAACATCACTTCGTTTTCTTTTTAAAGAAGGAGCACAAAAAACGTCACATCAAACAGGCGTCATTTCCGAAAGAAGGTAGCTGACGCACGCAACCCTTACTGAAACTAATCCGGAATTTCTTTGCTGAATAAGGAGTTTCATTTATTTCCTTGACACGAATTTCTCGTCTACTTAATTTCTGATTTGAGAAAAAGTCGATAAACATTATCATCAAACAGGTCGGCAAGTAGTTGATACAATATCAAAAACTATCAAATTGGCAACGTTTGAAACGCGTATTGCATCTAAACAATGAGTAAAAGTACCAGTCACATTTGACGCACAATTCCGTTGTTGAGAGCAAATGAGACAAAAAAAAAACAAGCTCGTAGAGGGTACAGGAATCCTACAATTTGCTTTTCGCAGGGGAAATTACTATTAATATAGAAATTCCGGCGTCCCAGACGATAAAACCAACAATAACCAATTCTATCAGTTACAATGAAAGCTATGTATTCCAAGTTGTCAAAATCGATCTAAGTATACTTCAGCCTTAATGCCTCACTCTTTCCTCTCTTCGCTTTTAACAAATATTTTCAAATGATGTAAACAACTGTTTTAACAAACTGTGACAGTTGAGGGCGGATTGACAGTCTAGGTTTGGTCATGTCGACGTGTCACTCGTCAGCAGACTAGAAATGACAGCATTTATTACCCTGCACTTTACCCCACAAGGGAATTTAAGACTTCCTCCTCTTGACCTTGGCCCTACTAGCACTTTCAAAACGCAAGGACGTGTTTGTTTACTCGAGTCAGTCGCATGCGCACCAGGGCGCTCCAGCGGATTCAAAAACGCTTGTTTTAAGAGACCCTTCCAAGGTTTTCAAAACTTTTCAACTTTTGACATGGACAAGTTAGGGAAAATCCGTCAAATCCGATGGAAAGAGCGCCTTTAAATTAGTAAGACTGCCAAGTTTGAAAGTGATTTGTGAAAAACTAACAAAGATATACCTCTTCAAAGTCGCGAGATTTTACAGACGTTTGTATGTGTCCATGTAAAACGTCTGTAAATTTTCGCAACTTTGCGGGACTCTATCTTCGCTCGCTTAAAGAGGTATCACTTTCTAACTTCAAGTTAGAAAACTAGTTTACTAAGTTCAGTAATTTTAAGCAGCTCTTTCCAGTGGAGTCGACGGATTTTCCCAAACTGGTCCATGTCAAAAGTTGAAAAAACCGTGAAAGGGATTATTACGGCTTGTAACGTAACATGGCGTCAAAAACCGAATTAATCCGCAAGGATTTTTAATGACCTATTAACACGCCAAGTAAACGAATATCAAGATTAGAATCTTTTAAGATTCTTAAAAGTTTATTTGTCTGCAGCAGAAACGCGACGCATGCTGTAAAATTAAATACCTGGAGTCACTAAATTCTTTCAGTTGAAAATCAAGTAACGGACTTTATGGGTGAAAGATGAATAGTCGCACTTGGAGTTCATTACTTGTCTGACAGCGAACTTAAATAGACAGTGCCACAGAAAGAACTCGGGGGCACCCACCGAGAATATAGTTCAAAACCACTTAAACATAGCATTGTTGAACGTATTTTAGTATCTAAACGGTAGATATAGGCATATTTTTATCCTCTAAACATTTTTCATCTGTTCGGATTTCCTAGCTGAAAGTCTAGTGATCCGGAAAATTATAGGGATCAAAACTTACCTTTTCGAAAATTTCAGCCAGAAAAAAGGCTCCCGAAAATTCTAGGTGACCTTTTTAGGGTAAAAATTCGTTAAAAAAGGGCAATTATACCATTTTTTAGATGTTCGAAAAACCTAGGAGAGGCAGGCAAGCAAGAAATTTTACAACAAATGTTCCGAAAATTTTAGATCTCAAAACGTCTTACGAACAGATATTTTCCGAAAATTGACGTTGGGTGCCCCTGAGAACTGACTACTCGCTAGCTTTTGTTTTATCTATACAAATTCAACATTGAAAACTACTGTTTATGTAAAATTTAAAAAAACAACACAAATAAGTACTGCTTAGGAACTTTCGACAGAACAGTTGCTCGACTTGCACTTTGATCCAAGGAAGTTGTAAAACGCGGGGAGAGAAGTTTCCGCAACACGCGCAGTCCTGTTACAGTTTATGATCACGGGGCTGACAATTAATGGATTATATGTATTCAAACGCCGAAAAAGGTCGATTGTGAAAAGGGTTACTCAAAATGGATATCACAGTTAATAAGCTTGCTCTGGAGTAACATATGAAGTGTTTATTTTTTTATGGAACAGGAACTGCCCTCTTTTTCTGGATATTCTCCACACCAAAAGAAGATAACCCTGTTATCTTTGGACCACGCAAAATTCATCAAAAATAAACCAGAAAGGTTGTCATTCAAAGTTGGAACCACTTTTTAAAGCCTAATAAACAGCACCACAGCAGGAAAGTACTACTCAGTAGTTTTCATTTGAATGGCCATACTCGTTTAGGAAATCACCCATGCACAGAAACAAACTGTAGGACCATCTTGTGCAGCATAATACACAGAACCACTGGAAAGTACGGCTCAGTAGTTTTCATCCAATTAGGGACGTTAGAAAATGCTGTTAGTTGACTTGAAGCAGTTAGAAACAAACAAACAGGCCTCTGTTATCTCGCATAGATTCCAACTCCGCCTCGTTGATTACATTCTACTTTCGCTTTTTTGGGTATATTTGTTTTCATACTAAAATTGTCGAGGTAGAGCCTACATTGTATATGATTCCTGATTCAAAACCTTTTCGTCCTGTCACTAAAAACTAAGTCAAGCAAAAAAAACTGGCAAATTAAATCAAGACGAATCGAAGTAACCAGAATAGACGGTAAAACAGGAACAGGTATATCTAGCCTGTTTCAAGATTATAAGGATAGAGCGGGCGGGAGTGAAGTTCTTGGAAAAAATTCTAGAGGAATACAAATGGTCAACGAGCGTTTCCCCCTTTTTCCCGGCACTTAACAATCAAAGTACGCGGCGTGTAATCAGCTAAATCAGTATCCTCTCTTCCTGTCCTTTATGAAAGGACTACAGTTGATCGAGCAGTTGTTTTACAATAATGGCGGTTGTTTCCAGAAATTACTTGATATAGAGGAAGCTCTTTCGTGAATAAAAAATAAGCTCGCGGTGAGCTTATTTTTTATTCACGAAAGAGCTTCCTCTATATCAATTACTACACTTTCTGAAACTTGTTTCAGCTTATTCCTCTCCTCAATTCATTTTTAATGTTACGCAGGTAAATTACGGTATTTGTTGGTGCGCATAAAAAGACTGCAAAACACGTGAACGTATTAACCACGAGCGGCTTAAAAAACTCTAGAAATTACGACTTGGACCAGGACACGGTCGATCTGTATATGTTTTCGAAGTTTATTTCCATTTATTTTTTTGCCTTCTCACTCTCGTTTCATTCTCAACCATTTTTTAAAGGCAACTGATATATCGACAGGGCAAAGCTGTCAAAATATCAGGTGAAGAAAAATTGTCTAGCATGATCCTGCCATATATCCCCATAACATTCCTGGGCCCACTTGTTCGAAGGCCGTTTAGCGCTTAACCCAGGGTTTCTTTTTTTGGTGTTTAAAAGCATTTTTTCGGATAATTTTCTCTGTTATTATTACAAGAAACCAATCATCAACTTGTTGACAGAAAGAATTAAACTGAATTTACCTTTTGAGCTTTCAAATCTGAATTCAAATTTCGCAATAACCCTG